CAATTGGTGCACTACATTCCGGGCACCTGCTCATTTGGTTTGGTGCTCCACAGTTTCCAATCGTGAACTATGGTGCGTTTTGACAAGGGTTAGCATTTATACACACAACTTAGAATGACAAGTACTGTGCCGGATTGCTTACTGGGTGTCCATTCTGACAAGTATACCAACGCCCTGTTGAACTAAATTCCGCAGACATCGCTAAGTAAACATCTTCTTTTTCTTTTTGAGAAAGCGGTACATAGAATGCTTCTCCTTCAAGTAGCTTCCCCGCCTCATTGATCTTGGCTTTGAGCGGCCCCACCGTCCCGGGGAGAGCCAAGCACAGCTGATCGCAAGTATCAAGGCTTTGTTTCCCCTCCCTCAACCCTGTTTCTCCCCAACATGACGAATTATAGCTACCTTGGTTCTCAATCACGCTTTCAATACCTGCCTTCATTTGAGCAAATGTTTCGATCCGATGAAGCGCAAAGAACTGAGCGCGGCGGATCCGCGCCTCAACTTCATACTTCCCAAGGTTGGCGGCGTGGCATTCCTCAATAACTTTCGTACAGCTGGTATGAATTTGGGGTATCAGGTTGAGAATATGTTGCCAAAGTTTGTTTCGGGAGGCCTGGTCAATCGATTCGCTCTTGGCAATTAGGTGCCAATCCCACAAGCTTTCCCATCTTAAGCTCAGAAACAGGTTGACGCCCTTGAGATGAAACCCCATCTGTACTGCAGAGTTGTCCACTGTGAACGTGCCTAAGAGATTCGCTCTGCGTTGTTGGCTGAGAACCATGTCGCGAACCTTAACGTAGGGTTGCTCCTCTTCTCCTACTTTGAATATAAACCACCTAACTCGCTCAAACAGCGCGTTTGTCCTCGATATGCGCTGTTTAAGGACGTGGGAAGTCGATTTGGAGCCACCCTCGTGGTAGGTGCTCGTTGCAACTGCATGAGAACGTCGCTGCGGTTCGCTTCGAAAAGATCTTCGACCTCAGAAACTTCCTTGTATACCTTCAAGTAATCCGCTTGAGCCTTTGCACAAAACCTCCGCATAGACCCATCCAGGTACGCTACTTTGGCAATTCTGTTGTATCGATGAATATTCCTGAGAGGAGCTCGACAGTCCGGACAGTTTTTCACAACCAGCTAGACCCTCTCCCAGCGCCCCCCAGCCCCCGAAGATATGTACATAATGGGCTTGAAAGTCGTGCAGAAGGCTATCGAAGAAAAAGCAGGCATCGTATAGTCCATGCTACTTGCATCACTCTGGAAGCGTAGCACAAAGAAAGAAGTCCTCTCCCCAGGGGCCATCCTGGAAATTTAATAGGATTCCTCACCGATTTCTTTCCGGGCACACGCAGTCGAGCCGGGAGTGCCCCAGCCCATCCCGTCCTGGCTTGCTGCCTTAAATGCCCCCCCACCACCCCCACTACCCTGGGGGTAGCTGAGTTGGAGTGTAGGTGTGGAGAGGTGCAGACAGGAGAGCACCTCACTTTCCGGTGCAGCCACCAGAAGGGTCGTCTAGAAGGCTTTGGCGAATGGGGGGATATGGAGAAGAATTGGAAAAGGGCGGCGGAGAACAGGGAGGAGTGGGGATGAGTTGGAAAGGTTCTTTTCCGGGATCAGGTTTTAGAAGCAAATTCCCGAGAAGGGGGGATGGCGTCATGTAACGAGAAATTTTCGTTCCGGGCTGCGAAGGTGTGGAGGAAGGAGAAGAGAGAGGAAGGAGAGGAGAGAGGAAGGAAAGAAGAGAGGTGGAGAGATATGGGAAGGAGAAGGTCATGGAGTGGAATAGGGGAGCATCGCGCTTCCCGATGCAGAAACCAGAAGAACCGTTCGGAAGGTCCTAGAATCAGGTCCTAGAATCAGGTCCTAGAAGAGGAGGGGGGGGGAGGGGGGTGGAATGGGGATATGTACTTATGTAGAATTTTCTTTGTTAAGCCTGTCTCCGGGCTTTGAGGGCTTGCCCAGGGACCCTGCCATGGCTTGGCGCTACAAGCGGGGTTATGTGATTTTTTTTTTTTTGTTTTAAAAAAAAAAATAAAAAAAAGTACTTACAGGTACTGTTAAGCTCTAGCTTATATTACGTTCCAGTGACCTGGTTTTCTGTCTTTGTCTACATGTAACTTACCCTACAAGGCTAAGCTCGGCCAAAACTGGAAAAGTCAACAACTACGCAACCGCCGAATATCTATAATGAATATCATAGCAAAGTTCAGTTGCAACGCTCCGCATTACAACAACCACATATCCTCTTGCATACCCACTGTGCCTGTCATAACCACACCGTTCCTATCCCTCGGCGAAAACAAAGCCTCTGCGACAACTGCATACCCTGTCCCATACCGCAGAAGAAGAAAAATACACTAGACGGCATTGGGTGATGTGAGCGGAGGCCGAGTTGAATTCAAAACAGTTATTTACCTGAGTACTATGTAGAAATAGAAGATAGCTCGCAATACCAAACTCTACTCCTATAACACTTAGCCCCAAGGCAGTACATCTCCGAGGATCCCGCACCAGAGGGATGCGCAGGCGATGATAGTATCGGTAGTGTTGCATGCATCCGTTGGTTATACTGGGTGCGGGGATATACGATCTGGATGATCAAGCCAGACCTTGCAGACCGCCCTGATTGTAAATTAAACATCATGCTCGAAATAAATATGCAAGGTAACGCCTGAGCCATGCAAGTTCTTCCGTAACTCCGAGCCCTGCGAGATAAATGCAATAACCAAATGATTAGAAGCCAATGCGTAAATCAAATTAGTAACTGAAGCCTTTTTTTTTTTTTTTTTATATCAGTACTCGCATGCCACCCTAAGGGCTATGGCCAGGAAACTGAAGCATTGGGAACTACCCGGCTTGGTTAGTGATGAAGATTGCTACTCTTGCTAACCACTTACACACCTCGCCGTAGCCTAACAGGCGGCAAGCGAGTAATGATATTAAAAAAAAAAAAAAAATAACCACTTACACAATAGCCGAAGAAGTCCTACTATTCCGAGCTCTAAGGGTTCATTAGCTAAATGTACGCCCATAGCGGCTTATGTAATAATACCTTTGACGAACACCGATTCTGGACATATAGACAGGTTCAGGTAGCCCTGTAACAGCTTCACCCTCTCTACACTTTTCTTCTTCTCCGTCCGTTTCCAACCTCACATCTTCACTATCATCATGTTCAATGTGGCTTGTTTTCATGTTTAGGCAGTATTATTCCAATGATGTCGTTTGCTGTCCAATTTGGCCCGAACTCAAATGGACCTGCTACACCTTCATTGTTTTGAGCTTCACATTGGTGTGTTATCCTATGTGTCGTTTCCTGGTCGCGGCCGCTGCGGCGTGGAACAGGCTCTATAGTCTGCTCGCGTAGGGCTGCTGCGGGCCTTGCCCCTGGGCCACGTTTCGCAGGCCTACCAGTCCCTAGCTCGCCACCCTCATCCCCTCTTTCTCTTTTTCTACCCCTGACACCCCGCCGCTCCCTTCGTGCTGATACTACAGGGTCCGCTCGTGACCACAATGCCCGCAGCTCGCACAGCTTGCGGCATATAGAATCGGGGATGCCCATCTGGAGCTGCTCGCTAGCGCCAGTAGTTATCACCTCGGACCGGCAGGGCTGCAACACAGCGCCAACAGCTTTGAGGATTGCCACAGTGGGCTCACCCTTCCATACCTTTGGCCATTGTGAGGGGCGCAGCCGCTGGAGGCCTGCCCATGTAGGCTGCGTGATGAAGGGATGATAATTTACCTGCCCCACAGCGAAGACAGGAAGCGAGCGTGCTTGCGAAATGCCTCTCCGAGCTGTGCGACACCGGCGGTCATAGTCTACCTTTTCATGCTGTATATACCGATCCAGCGTCGCCTCCGTTGGTATCATACACCAGAATGGATGGTCACAATCATATGCAAGATGGCAGACAGTACATAGACAGATGAGGTTGCTAGAATGTGCGAGATGTGTGATGAGTGGAGGAATAACTCCCATCGATAGGAAATATTGGAACTAGAAGCCAATTCCAACTTCTTAGCATGATACACTTGCCTGCTATCACAATGGAGGTGGATACCCGTTCAATCCTTGCAGCCGATATATGGTGTGCAACTTCTAGGATTAGGGGTTCATCCGTGCCACACAGCCAACAGCGCCTCTCCTCTCGTGCTTGAACAAATGCGCGGGTTGTTGCTGTAGGTGTCGCAAATGAGGTGGACTCTACGGATGGAACATGGGTAGACTGGGGAGCACTGCTACTGGAGGCCATCGGTTCTGACATTGTTCGAAAGATTCTGACTTGAAACGTGACGTCAAAAGCGACAAGGGATGTGGAATAACGCTCGTTATGGGGGAAGGCTCATACACAGGCGTTTTTTCTGCAAGCAAAATGTGCAGGTGTTCGGAGCTGCGGTTGGTTGGAGGTGATGCTGTGATAGCTTCCTTCCGTAGCTTGGCTTTCTTGGCACTCCTCAGTAGTAAAGTCTTGGCAGGCACATGTGACCGACCAACCACGTGCCAACCTTTTTTTTTTTTTTTGTCACGTGACCCCTCATGCGGCTGTTCGCCATGGCAGGACACGGGCCAACCTACGGTGACAGCAGGGTAGATGGTAGTAGGACTTTAGTAGCTATCGCGATAGCAGGGAGGTGGGAGGAATGATGGGACAGAGTAGGAACCTGATAGATACCTCTGCAGAAATTGGGATAGGGACGTACATCCACTTTATTATGCTTGAGGTTGAATTGAGCTCTTTTGTGACAGGTTTACCATTTCATAATTCTACTCATAGTACAATTGATATTGCGCCCAAGCCAATATTTATATGATTAAAGTTGACCGTATTTGATAGTACTTCGCATAGAGAGAGAAGCAGGACTGAAGGTATTCAATGCTAGAATAAAAGTTGCAGCTATCGTGCCCAGGACGGTATTACTCACGGCCCCAAATGTTGCAGTACAACGATGGAAATGAAACTTCAGGAAAAAAAAAGAAAAAAAATAAATAAAATTAAAAATGTTGGACAAGCGGGGAATTGAACCCCGGACCTTCTCAAAGTTTTCACGTTGTGATTTTCGCGCAAGTTAATGCGAATGAGAAATCATACCCCTAGACCACTTGCCCAGTTTGCATGTACTAGGAAAGTAAATGTTATTTTTGGAAAGTCTGAAATAAATTGGAGTTCTCGTACAGCGCGGCAATAGATTCTGATTCACTATATTTGTTACATCATTTGGAAGGGGGGGGGGGGTTACTTAAATCAATACTGATATCGATTTAGGAAAAGTCTTTTATGTGCTTCGAAATTTATATCTTAAAAAAAAAAAAGTGTTTTGATTCGGGTAAAATTTTGCGGAGTTCCATATATGTAAGCTATGTGGGTACTGTGCATATAATAAAAGACAGTGGGATTACGGCATATAAGTGAGCCTAATATGGCTAATGTAGGGACGCAGGTAAGTAGGTGGAAGGTAGAAGTAGGCAAATTTACTTGTACATACAAATGCACGGAAGGAGAGCGTGAGGGGTTTTTTTTTTTTTTTTTTCTATATCCTTACTCGCGCGCCGCCCCTTGGGCTATGGCGCAACTAAATTATTACTTTACGTGATAAATGCACAAATGAAGTGGAAAAGCTTCAAGACAAGTGGGACAAAATGATAAAAGAAAGACTCCTGTCATTAGTTACAAGTGTGCCAGATCAGCTTTGCTGTTATGGTAGTCAAATGAAATTATGCAACACTTTGTTAACTTGTATGCAGAGGAGTCGTGATTTTGTGTGTAAATACCATACAAAAGTTCTGAAGACTTTTCAACAAAAAGTCATACCTACTTCACTTTTGACCCCCTGTCGAGTGGCGTACATGTATGCGTACATAGCGCTTCTTATCAATTTCCCAATACAACCCATGTCCACACCCATGCCCACACCTTTATCCACCATGCCACTAGACCACCTACTCCAGTACTTGGGTATCAGCTTCAGTATCCTCCTGAATTATCCTGCGTGAGTGCAGAACAATAACATCCTGAGTGTGGTTGTCTGCACTATTATTGTACTACTGAATTTCTTGATCTTCTGGCTGATCTTCCTGCATTTCAGTCACTTTCCTCTGTGAACTTTCTGGTGCTTCAGCCACTTCAGCGCCTGTAGGCCCACTAGCAGACTTAATGCCTTTAGTCTTGAGGTTGCATGAGGCTTGTGTGCCAGATGTTGTTCGAAACTATGTTCGGAAGCTTGGTTCGGGGGAGGGCAAACTAGTGGTTTTTTTTTTTTTTTTTTTTTATATCAATACTCGCTTGCCGCCCCACGGGCTATGGCGAGGGTCTTAATTAAGGAAAAATAAAAACAACTATCTCTCTGCCCTAAGTACATGTATTGCCCGCGATTTCCTTCGTGATGCGGGTGACGCCCGGTATCTCCTACTTCCGTCCCCTCTCCGTCTCGTACCGGACCGAACGTAGCCAGCGTCCACCGAGCCTCACTCTCTCAACTTCCATCTCTTTACCCAAGAATACAACCACCGAGCTTGTCTTCTTTCCTTCCTCCTCCAGTATGGTCCTCCTCCTCAGCCAGCGAATCCCAACAATCTTCCCCAATTCCTTGTCTGCGGCTTCCAACCAATTTTTGTTGGGAAACTACGGGTTTTGCAACGACTTTCCAATGCTTGCACTTCTGTAGAGACTGCGCCGCAGGGTGGGAACCCTGGCAGGCCTACTGGGCGGAAGGGCCTAAGATCGTGGCGATTCGGCATAGACAAGGCAGACGGACCGGAATGCAGATGGTGCGGAAAGGAGGAAGAGACGACGACGCACATCTGGGGTAGATGTCGAAGATGGGAAAGAAAGTCGCAGGGGGGCGAGACCCTTAACGAAACCTCCGAGAGGGGCCGATGGGGAAGGAGACCCGCTCGTTGAACTGATGGAGTGGGTGGAACGATAGGGGAATCTACATACTTTCAGGCAATGAATCCAACAGGCCAGGCCGGCCGTGATCTGCATTGGACTGAAACCGCCTGGACCGGCCTGGACCGGCCTGATCCACATGAATCAGGCCAACCAGGCCAATCCAGGCCAATCAGGCCGGTTCAGGCCATTCAGGCCGGTTCAGGCCATTCAGGCTGGTTCAGGCCATTCAGGCCGGTTCAGGCCAATTAAACGAATCACTCCACAGCTATCCAGCTGAATTGAGGCCAGCATTTACCAGATTGTTTGAGTATTTAAATGAGTAGAATCTCCCGTATGTCTAGAATTTTAAACAGCAGCGGTCTACGACTTTTGTCAAGTATGTATCACACTTTGTATTCAAGTATATATACTAAGAAATATTTTAGAAATGATGGAACTTCCAGATAATACAACAGACTGGACTCAATTCTTCGATGATGATACCTGATGCGCAACTGTCAATTACTGATAGTGGAAATATCCAGGACTATTAAAATCTAATTCACCTGGGTTAAATTCCAAAATCGCTTGAATTTACGTAAATGGCCTGGTCGGCCTGGACTGGCCTGAATGGCCTGAACCGGCCCTCACGGCCTGGCCTGATTGTTCAGGCCAGGCCAGGCCCAGAATTTCACGGTCCAGGCCAGTCCAGGCCTCCGGTTGGCCTGGCCTGGCCTGGCCTGTTGGATTCATTGCTTTCAGGTCGCTGCTAGAGTCATAGTTTTATTCTTTATTCTCTTTATTTTCCTTCCTTCTATCTCCGAGGTAAGTAAACTGTCGCCGCAGCCCCCAGGGCGGTACGCGTCTAATGATATATATATATATAAAAAAAAAAAAAAAAAAAGCAGCTTGCACTTCTGTTGAAACTTTCAAACTTGATGTGCTGCTACATGAGCTGGTTGAGTACCAAAATGGCTCTCAAGGTTATACGCTGTCTGAACAAGCAATGTCAACATTGAATATCCGGTAGAGGTTTAGGTATTATAAGTGTGTCAGATGGTAAAGTCTAGGTATTGTCTGGAGTCATACCCCAGCATTGATATGGATGCCATGTGGATTTGTCCAGAAGCCAACAAGAATGAATACAGTAAGTGAAAGTGGAATAGGCTCTTCGAGAAGGAAAAATGGCATATTGAATTGTTCTCGTACCTAGCCTAAGAGTCGGTGTGCTGCCAAGAAATAATAGTAAAGACAGCGTCTGCTACCGATATCCTTGGCAGAAGCTGAGTCTTCATAACTGGGAGATGATGCAGCTTGCCATTCATGCGTTAGCATATCAATGCAATATACTGTACTATTTTTTTTTTTTTTATTTCATTACTCGCGTGCCACCTGGTAGGCTACGGCGAGGTATTAGGTACATAAAGGACAAATAGTAACTGATAAATCATAAAGAGAAGTAGAGTGTGAAACAAAGAAACTAGCTGGCTGCCCAGTCCAACACCTCAACCTGTTTCATCCCCTCCTTCTCCCCCTCTTTCTTCTTCCCCTTCTCCCCCCTTTTGGCATCTTCATCCCCGCCTCGCCTCCCGGTAATCTCTTCTTCCACGCCTCACAGTCTTTTGTTATGTGTCTGTAATTCTCGAGGGCTTTTCCACACCACCTGCACTCCGGTGACTCTTCTCTTCCTATCTGGTGTCTCCATTGTCTCAGTCCTTTGTCCCCCATTATGCCTGCGAATATAGACACCCTCCTTCTGGTCCCCAGGTACTCCAGTGGTCTGTACGTCAGTTGTAGTCTCTCTCTCTCTTCCCCTCTCCTATTCTTTGCCTCTTGTCGGATGCCCGCCTCCGTCACCGTCTCGTCCTGGTATAGTAACGCCGTGGCTACTTTCGCCGCCCTGTCCGCCTCGGTGTTACCCACTATCCCTTCATGTGCTTTAACCCACAGGAGTGCCAGGTCTCGGTCCCCTCTCGACGTCCTCTCCTCCCACCTTCTCCTCACCAGCTCCGCTGCACCCTCCAATATACTGTACTATGTTCTACCGGGATATTGCGCAACCTCAGATAAGTAAAAATAAGACTATTACAAATTACTAAGTGGTTCAATTGTATCAGAAATTTAGTTTTATCTCAATTATATATAGACCAGCTAGAGTAGTATTAAACTTAATTATGTATTACCATATATCTATAATTATCCATACTAGGTTTATTTCTACTACAAGTAGTATAGTAGAAGTGCTAATTAAAATATGTTCTTGTTATTCTTGTCAATCTCTAAACCTTATTCAGTATCTGATCTTCCTCCCTGCCTCTTCAACATAACCTGCCATCGCTTCTGAACTGGAACCGCTGAACTAGAACTGCTGAACTGCCACTCACGAGCCTCTCGTGTCGAGCCTCTCCTGTCACGTTTATCAAGCCTCTGCCCTTCACCGGGTGCGAAACTACTGTTACCCTGAACCAGTCGATCCCTTAGCAGCGCCCGCCCACCGCGCGTGACAGTCTCCTCCCTTGGCCGACCTGCTTTCAATACTATTGAATTACTATAATTTCTAAATATCTCCAGTCAATACTTCTGCTATAATACTTATATAAGTACCAAACATGGTATAGATAATCATGGGCATATTGTAATGCTGCTACTAATGCATAATTAAGTAGATACAGTGTTTAATTCCTATCAGGTTCTGGAGCTATGGGCAGCGCCACAAGCCGCCATAAAGAGCAATATATTCAGCTTCAGCAGTCGAAAGAGCAACAGTTGTTTGCAGCTTCGACCACCAAGAGATATAGCACATTCATTCCACACAAAGATATAATCACAATATGAGCGACGGGTATCCTGGCAAGTAGCATGATCAAAATTGCTAACATCAATCAAAGATAATGCACTACAAGAGTAATTGGCGTAAGAATCAGAGCACAGAGGTATGAAAGGTGAACTATAGGTCTCATTAATGGGAGAGCTTAATTTGAGTGATTACTGCACCTGTGAGATGGGGAGCTTAACTTGAGTTATTGCTGCACCTGTTAACAACTACATTCTGTTCTAGACATTTGTTTCCAGACTTAGTCAACCGACTCCAATCATTTATGCTCGATACGGACTCTTAGGGTAACCGAACATAGTAGCAATGATGCCACATAGTATCCATGAGGCTATGATGATGATGAGGGATGACGCATGGTGATGGTGCCATGAATGACAACATGCTGATGAAAGATATTTAGCC